CGCTCAATAGAGGGGCTATTCTCGAATCACGAATGTCTCACAACTGCACACTACAGCGCTTAAACTTCAACCAGCAAGCATGAAACAGCACAAAGTGGCCTGTGGTCACACCGATAACAGAGGAATGGACAATGCGTAATAAAACGTACAAACCTGAAGCGGTGAGGCGACTTTTCCTCCTTCCAGGGATTGATGTTTGGGAGTTTGTTGCAGTCGAGCGCTCCCTCCCTTTCTCTAGCGCACTAGAATGATAGTGCTGATGTTGTTTTCACTTCCTCTTTCCTCCTCCTCCCGGCTGCTGATTGGCTCCGCTGTTTCAGTCATCCACCAATAACAGCACAGTGAGTCCTGATCATTCAATAGACCGATAAAAGCGCATCAGTGTACTTTTTCAATCTAGTCTAGTAGGCTATTGATTGTGATGTCTGCTTTTGCTTCTTTATATAAAATAGTTTTCGGCATGATTTAAGTGCATAGTATAGTAAGACATAGAGACTTCCATTAAAAGCTAAACATGTCCTTATTTTAAAAGCTTGAATAAATGGTCTATATAAGAAAATATGATTAAAACAGAACATCATTGCCTGGCCATTTGTCTTCAGGACATAGTTGGCATTTAGTAAATATCTGTCCATCAGATGTCTGTCCTCACAATGTCCACACACACAGGCGATAGATTATCTGTCTGTCCCACACAAGGTGATGTATTAACCGTCCCATGCTGACATCATTTGCCTACTCCATTTTGGTGATTAGAGAGAGGATGTAATTCTTTAAAAGCCTTTAAAGAATGTCTAGAATTCTGTTAAGAAACGCACATGATGTAAAAGATTATGTAAAGCAAAATCCAGTCATGCAATATCACCGTGCTTCAGTCCATGACAGCAGAGGTGATGTCACCTTTAGTTTTTCTCTCTATAAAAACCATTATGCAAATACACATCATGGGTCAGTCTCTGCAACGGCTCTTCTCTGAATGCTGTGACATTGTTTGGATTTTTTTGGACTATGTGAAATGAACAACTCTAGTTCTTTAGGAAATGAAACTGCTGAAAACCAAACCCATACTCTGCATCACAAAAACTGCACTGATGATTATAACAAATGCACATTCTACTGTATGATCTATGATTCTGATTCAATATACTTTAAAAGTATATTTGTCTCAAATTTGCATAATAAGAAATAAATGTAATTGGTGTAAATGACAATGTAATGTTTTGTAATTTATTTTATTGTAAATATACCGTGTCTATAAATATATGTTAGGGCTGTCAAATCAATTAATCGCATCTATAAAAGGTTGTCTTTGTATAATGTGTGTGTGTGTGTGTGTGTGTGTGTGTGTGTGTGTGTGTGTGTGTGTGTGTGTGTGTGTGTGTGTGTGTGTGTGTGTGTGTGTGTGTGTGTGTGTGTGTGTGTGTGTGTGTGTGTGTGTGTGTGTGTGTGTGTGTGTGTGTGTGTGTGTGTGTGTGTGTGTGTGTGTGTGTGTGTGTGTGTGTGTGTGTGTGTGTGTGTGTGTGTGTGTGTGTGTGTGTGTGTGTGTGTGTGTGTGTGTGTGTGTGTGTGTGCACAGAGGTGGACAGTAACAAAGTGCATTTACTTGAGTACTGTACTTTACTTGAGTATTATTTTTCCTGGGAACTTTTTACTTTCACTATATTTGAAAGACAAATATCGTACTTTTTAGTCCACTTCATTTCTGTCAATGCCCTTAAGTAGAATGTCAGTCAGGGGATGATTTTGGTTGCAAGGAGTTGCATTTTGGTTGGAAATGAAAGTCAGATTGACGTCGGAACCCGATGTCGGATTGATGTCAACATCCAACATCGGACAGACGTTAGATTTTGGTTGGAAATGAAAGTCGGGTTGATCAACAACAATACAATTTTCAACAACCATACAATTGTCAACAACAACATCTGACGTTGGATTCTTCTAAATGCGAATTTTGTCATTGTTTTGGAGCACACTTGCTCCATGGCTAACATATTCATACTAAAAGCCAAAAAACTTTAAATAGGGCATTTGAGGGAACCATTGTAGACGTTATTGAGTGCACTTATTCAATCTCACATTCAATCCCACTACTGGAACTGTGTTCTAGAAATAAATGTGATATTGATATGAGTGTAGGTAGGCAGGCATAGATTCAGAGGCATATGGTACTGTAAGTATTAGATACAACAATGCAACAATAATAAAACAATGCACTGACATTTCCTTTCGATACTTAAGTACTTTTAAAAGCGAGTACTTCTGTACTTTTACTTAAGTAAAAATCGGTCCTTACAACTTTTACTTGTAACAGAGTAATATTTGACCAGTAGTATCTGTACTTTTACTCAAGTAAGCAAGCAAGCAACTTTATTTATATAGCACATTTTCAAAGAACACACGTTGACCCAAAGTGCTTTACAAAAAATTATGACATTTTAATCATACAACAAAACAAACATAACTTATTCAAAAGCTAAAGAAAATAAAAATAATTTTTAAATAAGACTTGAAAGTAACAATTGATGGAGCTGACCTCACGTGGAATGGGAGACTATTCCAGAGTTTGGGACCTATCCCGGAAAAAGCATGATCTCCTTTTGATTTTAATAGACAACGAGGAACCTTTAAAAGCCGTTGATCTCAGGACCTGAGAACTCTAGAAGGAGAGGGAATAATAAGATCACTGATGTACTGGGGGGCAAGGCCTGGTAGGGCCTTGTAGACAAACAGGAGATCTTTAAAATCAATCCTGAATATTACAGGAAGCCAATGTAAGGATTACAGGGGTGATATGGTCTTTCTTTCTCACCCCCGTTAAAAGCCTTGCTGCTGCATTTTGCACTAACTGTAGGCGGACTAACATAGTCTGGGGGAGATCAATAAAGAATTACAATAGTCAATCTTTGATGAGATAAAAGAGTGAACCACAATTTCCAAATCCTTACTGGATAGAAAATGCTTTACTTTAGCAATTGATCTCAGCTTAAAAAAGCTACCTTTAACAACTGCACCAATCGGTTTGTTAAAACTTAGTGATGAGTCCATAATTACCCCTAAACTCTTTACATGATCTTCAATCTTTAAGGGTCAAGGAACCTAAATGATCAGGAAAGGTAGGTGACATGGAAGAACCTACAATCAAAACCTCAGTTTTACTCTCATATAATTGGAGAAAGTTGCTAGAAAGTCAAAGTTTTGTCACTGTAACATCCTGTACTTTGTCCAGCGAACAGGTTTTGTCTAAGCTCACAGGAAAATAAAACTGGAGATCGTAGGCGTAACAATGGTACGCAATACTATACTTCTGAAAAATAGTGCTTAGAAGCATATACAGAGAGAACAACAACGGTCCCAAAATCGACCCCTGAGGAACACCACAAAGTAAAGGGGCCAATGTGGAAGAAAATTCTCCCAGATTCATAGCCACTGTCCTGTCTTTTACATATGAGGCAAATCACTGAAGGGCTGTACCCTGGACACCAACCCAACACTCCAGACGGTTGAGAAGAATCTCATGGTCAATCGTATCGAAGGCAGCGCTTAGATCTAATCTGTGCTGTGACAGGTCCTAAAGCCCGACTTGAATGTGTCTAATATCGAAAGTATTCAAATATGAATATAGCTACGAGTAGACCACTTTCTCTAAAATCTTGGAGAAAAAAGGCAGTTTAGAAATAGGTCTATAGTTGTTATATACTGTATGATCCGAATTAGGTTTTTTTTAACAATTATGAACAATTGCATGTCCTGAAACTGTTTGGTACTACTCCACTCATTAAGGAACTGTTAATTATAGCTGTTAGGCTAGAACTCCCAGTAGGAAAAACATCTTTAAAAAGATGAGTAGGAAGAATATCCAGTCTGCAGCAACCTCCATTCATTTTAGAGACAATATCTGCCAGCTGCGCTTATGAAACTGGTTCAAAGTTAGTCAAATTAAACAGCGCAGGATTAATTGATGAACAGGAATGTGAAGGTAATTGCACTTCTGATCATCTCAATTTTTTTGAGTAAAAAATAATAAAAACTCTTCACATTCACAAGTCTCTTGAGTAAGGAAGTTGTGTACTTTGTCCAACTCTGACTGTGTGTGTGTGCGTATACATTATATATATATATATATGTCACAATTTTTCTTCTAGAAACAAACTTTGTTGTATAATTTTCATGTTATCACTGTGTAGCTGCTTTGATACAATCTGTATTGTAAAAAGCGCTATATAAATAAAGGTGACTTGACTTGAATTGAACTGTAAATAACACTTGTCTAGAGTAAACCAAAATGTATAATATATTTAAACAGTGGGGAACTCATTTGTGACATTCACGGCTTGATAAAAAGGGAACATGTCACATAAACACACGTTTCTAATGGCCCTGCCCAGATCAGAACAAAGGGAGATACAATGAAAAGAGAGGAACTAAAAAGGAAACATGAGAATCAAGCTTTTTTTACCAGTACAAACTCATTCTGAAGATGAGTGCTAGTTAATGACTTGCAAATCAAATAAAGCCCTGATAGTCAGTCATAGACTGTATTTTGAAGTTGATTTGATGATTTATGTTATTAATATGAATATTTAAGAATAATTAATTATTGTTTTCTTTTAGATGCACATTTAAATAGTCTCCAAATTGAATCTGCGTTATGAAGAGCTCCTTTGATCAAATATGATGCACTATTTATCTTGATACAAAATGGCACATGTACTCCAACGACAACCGCAGGAGTCCGGATTTCAGCGACGAGATCAAAGGAAAAGCATACTTTCCCCTCTCAATAAGCCTCTCTGGTGATGTGAATGATGTGCAAACCATTGTCACCCATTCAAGAGGTGCTAATTGGCTGCGCTTACGTACCACAGCCAGATGCAGAAGCCCCGAACACTTTGATGGAAACAGAGGATGTGAATTCACACTTGTAATTTGAGTCGCAAGATCCTATAAACCCTCAAAATCTCTTTAGGACATATCAGATTACCATAGAAAGAAGCTGTAAATGCTGAATAGTCATTGATTTATTTGCATGACATTTATGGACGTCACTGTTCAAGACAGCAGATGGCATGTATCATAAGCTCTCGTCAGTTATTTTCACAATGACGCATTCTCAAAATGTAAATTAACATACATTCAGAAACTCTGTTCAACTCAGACTTCAGTCCAATAAGCCCAAGGAACAAACAGCCTGATAAGGAACAGCTGTAGGAAATCTGATAAAGAAGATGCATATATCCTAAGCATTCCATGCGACAGAGGGGATTAATGCATCCATGAATTATTAAGCAGACGTGAAGATGGCCCGGGGAACTGATAGGAAGCCTCCTGTGTATACTTGATAGGGCTGACACACTATTGCAGAGCTTCTAATGATGAGCACTGAGACATCCAGACCACTGGCCCCTGTTTCAGTCTGAGTCTGAGTCATCGCTAGCCTTGGCCGTGTGCTTCTTCTTTTTCTTCTTGTGTTTCTTCTTTTCTTTCTTCCTCTTCTCCTTTTTCTTCTTCTTCTTCTTCCGGTTGTGATCAGAGGAGGCAGAGGAAGTTGAGGTGGAGTCAGAGTCAGAGGTGGTGTCTTGAAGCAGCTGTTTCAACTGCTGGATCCTACAGTGAGGAGAAAAAAGACACATCAAAATTATTTTCTATGCACAATTTTTTGCAATACGCAGACAAAAAAGATAATCAAACTATAGATAATGGAACTCATGAAAACATTTAACATGAAAAAAAAAACACATCTCCTTTAAAATAGTCCTATTATAGATTAAAAATGTAAAATTAAATTTAGTTTACAAATAATAATATTTATTATAATAATATTTAATATTATTATCTATATATATATTATATATTTATATATAATATTTACAACACAATTATTTAATGTGTGTGTGTATTGATAAATATATATATTAAATATTATAAATATATTATAAATATGTGTGTGTATATATATATATATATATATATATATATATATAGTCTTATATATAGACACACACAAATAATATTTCTAAAATATTTATAATAGTATTATTTAATAATACACATGTATACACACACACAAACAAATGTGTGTGTGTCTGTATATATAAATACTAAAATGTAAATAAAATATAAATATAAAAAAAATTTATAAATAATATTTAATATATATGAATATACATATAAACATGTGCATATATACATATATATATAGTATGTGTGTAAACTAAATATATGAAATATTATTATAAATATATAGCATATTATTCTAAAAATATAGTACATTATATACATTTATAATATTCAATAAATATTTATATACATATTACACACGCATAAATACACACAAATAATATTTATATTTAATATTATTTTAAATATTATAAAATATAAATAACATTTAGTGTTAAATTGATAATATTTAAGAAACTACAAAAATGTATAGAAAACATTAATTTTGCACTTATTTATATATTTGCAATTCCTTTTGGTGGCGCTAGAAGCACAGAAATTACACACTTCACCTTTGAGCAATTGGATTTATTTAGAATATTTTAAGAACGCTATCTTTAACTAAATTCGATTGCTATTGATTTGGGCATAAGAGGAAGCAGAAAACACAAGCACCTTCTGACAGCCACTGCCACACCGACCTGCAACTATTAACAATTCATCAGATCACTGCTGTTCAGAGGGTCCACATCCTCTGACAGAACCGCACAACCCCGTTTTAGCTTTGCTTTCATTCACTACATGCTGTGAAGAGTGAAGACTGCATCAATGTCAAAGCGGCTGATTTCTGACTTTCAACTTTTTTTTAACAAGCTACTCCTTGTTTTCCAACATCCTGCTGAAAATTTCAAATTGCCAGTCCCATGGGAATGTTTAGTAACAGTTCTGTGGCATAAATGTGGAGCTCAGCAATGTACGAACAAAATAATCTGTCAAAACGACCCACTATGGGTTTACATCCCACATAACAGTTTCTAATTACTCCCATGTAGCAGGAGCTCTTGTCACCACATAACAGAAGTTAATCACAGTGGAGTAAAGAGTTACGTAATCGTCTGCAACAGGGTTCTTTTGTTAAACTGACACGACTCATCAACACTGGCCTCTGAAAGACCTCAACACACCAAATACCTTATTAAAAAGCAGATTATTAAAAGATCCTCATCTCATAGACACACACTACCGTTCAAAAGTTTGGGGTTAGTAAGATTGAATTTTTAGTAAGAAGCATTAAATTGATCAAAAGAGACATTAAAGACATTTATTATGTTACAAAAGATTTCTAGTTCAAATGAAAGCTGTTCTTTAGAACTTTCCATTCATCAAAGAATCCTGGAAAGAAAATTTATCAGTTTTCACAAAAATAATGTTTCTTGAGCCAAATCAGCATATTAGAATGATTTGCGAAGGATCATGTGACTGAAGACTGGAGTAATGATGCTGAAAATTCAGCGTTGCCATCACAGGAATAAATTAGATTTTAAAATATATTAAATAGATAACAGTTATTTAAAATTGTAATAATATTTCACAATATTATTGTTTGTACTGATCAAACAAATGCACCCTTGGTGAGCATGAGAGAGAGAAAAAAAAGAAAAAAAAAAAAAAAGCACTGATTCCAAACTTTTGAACATTGTATTGTGAATTGTGTCTATCCTTATAGCTTTTGAGAGTTATTTATAATAATTCTATTTGAGTTTCACAGAGTCTCAATATGTATAAAACTTGACGTACCTTGTCTCTTTTTCATTGCGTTTGTTTTCTCGAATGATATCGTACATTGGATCCTCATGTGCCTTTGAAAGAATCACAGAAATGTTATGAACATTCATAAACAGTTCAGGTTCACCATATAAAATAAATTCTAACTTGCAACGGAAGTAAAATATTTTATAGCTTAAGTTATAGTTAATTTTTTATATTGTGCAGTCAATATGGCAGTCATTATGGACTTATACTTACACCTAGTGGTGTGGATGAAACATCACACAACAATAAAAGTTTAGGTTGTGTGCGAGCGAAAGCATCTGACAATAATAAGGGGGATACAGAGATCATTCGTAGTAGGCTGGCCATGTGACTTCAACATGTTGGACCCCATGAGATCAACTTTTATTAGGCCTATTAATTCATAATTTATTTATTTAAAGTACTATTCATTTATTTATAAGGAAAATAATACTGAGTGTACCTTTCAGAGCTTTGCAAAGAGCTGTTATTGAAGGTTGTGGGAGTAAAAACTTTGTCTGCACATAAACAGACTCTTTGAATAAGAAAGTATTTATTTGATATATTTATACCCCCAGCTGTACTTTTATTCAGATTTTTATATTACCACCTCTTTGGCACCTTTATTTTTTATTTATTTGTGTTTTTCTCTCTTTTCTTGTTCCTGTTCTTTTTGTTTCTGTTTTATTTTTGTATGTCTAATTGTATAATGTTTAATATTTGCATTTGAATGAAAGTGCTTGTATAATGTTAATGTTTATTCAATAAAAAAAAAGAGAGATTAAAAAAAAAAAGAAGCATATCAGCAATCTGCTAGTTCATGGCTCAATCTCTAAAAATGTTCTTAAAAAAATGTTCAAACCCTGTATATTTAAGGCCAAAGTTTTTAATCAGGCTTTAAGTCAAGGTTACTGTACGTGGTTTTAAATAAATCCTTTAACTGCAGCAGTGTAAAAAGTAGGCCGTGTGTGTCACTTACTACTCTGAACTGCTCCAGTTTCTGGTTGCCTTTGATGAAGAACGGACATTCTTTGTCTCCCGTTCTGTGGCCGTACTGCTTACATCTCCAGCCTACACACAGTTTGTTTTCTCAATGACCTTCATCCGCACAGAAAAATCTAAAACATAATTTGTCGCTAAAAGTTACAGGCACCAATTTTCTATAAAAAAAAAAAAACAGCACGAACTCAAGTTTATGTTATAATTATATACTGCACAAAAACTTTTCTATATACACGACCAGTCAAGAGACTATGGAAGCTTGTTTCCGCCACGTTATAAAAATAATAAAGGCTTTTTATCGCACAATTCTGATGGGGGAAAAGTATGAATTGTGAGTTATAAGCTCGAAAGTGCGAGATATAAACACAATTCTGACTATCTCGCAATACAGTGCTGCAAGGATTAATTCGCCACTGGTTCCCTTGAGACTTTCCTATGGGGTTTTATAACGGTTTTTATTTTTATTTATTTAGGAGTAAAATAAAGCCTGTGGTAAACATAACATGATGATACTTTGACGTTTTGACTTTTTTCTCGTGATTCTGACTTTTTTTCCTCAGAATTCAGAGCTAATAACTCACAATTCTGACTTTTTTTCTTGCGATTCCATTTTTATAATTCTCAAATCTGACTTTTTGTCACAATTGCAAGTATATATCTCGCAATTCTGACTTTTTGTCACCATTTCTAAGTTTATAATTCGCAATTCTGAGTTTATATCTCGCAATACTGACTTTTCCCTCACAATTGCGAGTTTATAACTCACAATTTTGACTTTTCTCAGAATGGTAAGATATAAACTCAGAACTGCAAGAAAAAAGTCACAATTGTCAGATATAAACTCACAGTAAAGGTAATTGCAACTTTCTCACAATTCTGACTTTTTTTTCTCACAATTGGAAGTTTATATCTCACAATTATGACTTATCTCACAATTACGAATTTATATCTTGCAATTCGTACTTTATTTCTCACAATTCTAAATTCATAACTCGTGATTTCAAGAAAAAGTCAGAATTGTGAGATAAAAAATGTATTTAATTTTTAATTGGGACTGTATGTCATACAATTCTGATCTTTTTTCCTCAATAAGTTCATGTTTTTATCTCATAATTATATTTTCTCCCAAATCTGAATCTATGCTTCACAATTCTGATAAAAAAAATCAGAATTGCAAGAAAAAATGTCAGAATTGCAAGAAGAAGAAAAAAAAAAAAAGAGTCAGAAATTGCGAGGAAAAAGTCACAATTACCTTTTACCTTACCACTATTATATTTTATTACGTGGCAGAAAGAAGCTTCCATAAAAGAAACACCTACTCGTTTCAATTCAGAAGTTCAATTTAGATCACAAAAAAATCTTTATCTTAAGAGCGAAGTAAATATATCTGAAAGTTTGCTTACACTGCATGACCTTCACCTCTTTTCCCAGAGGCATCCACAGTCCTTTAGTGGGAGCGTGAGCCAAGAAGCTCCTGGCATCCTCATTACCAGGGTCATCAGGAATACAGTCCTCTGGTTTGTAATCATCTTCCTGCAAAAGAAGTTCTGTGTGTATTGCAAAATGCTCACTCAAAAACGTATTTCTAATCCTTTACATGATCTCTGATGACATATTGATGACAACTAGAGGTAACACTTTATTTTACAGTGTCCTTGTTACATATATTACAGGTGCTTGCTTACTAATAACAGTATATTATGCATAATTGTATGCAAGTAACCCTAAAACAGACGCTATTCCAAACCTTAACTCTATAGTAAGTACATATTGTTAAGTCATGTTACTGAACTTAATTGTATACAATACACTGCAACAATGGCACCTTAAAATGAAGTGCAACCCAACTAGCTCATGATAAATTCGCAGCATTTAATACACTTCAAGCCATGACCAAACCTTGATGAACCCAGGAGGAGGATTTTCATAGCTGAAAGGAAAAACAAAAAAAAAATAAAGTAATAACATATATGCAAGACAAAAGTGGAACAGAATGGTAAAGAAGTTCAGATAATACAAACTCTAGGTTATACAAAAGAATTACCAATACCAAACGGATGTTATGCAAATACTCACAAAGTCTCCACATGCTTGAGTTTCTGCACCTCTTGAATCAGTTTTCTGGTTTGGTTCTTGAATTTGTCATCATCTTGTTTTGACTCCTTGTGTTTCTTTCGTTCATGTCTGTCCTCGTGATGCTCTCGGCTTCGTTTGCGAGCTGACATTGTACATTCCTTGGAGATAGTTTCTAGTATATCTATAATCACATCTTATGTTCAAAAAGTTAATACTTCAGTGTAATTATCAGGGTAATGATGATTGTAAACTAAAGGTACAAATGAGCGTCTGTTTAACCACTTCCGGGTGAAAGTGCTTTTTCAAAATAAAAGGCCCCTAAAATGTGCATTGAGATAAAAAAAAAACTACAGTGCGTCAAAGATAAAACTTATAAAAAACAATTATATATTTTAAGAACATTATTTTTAGTTTGTACACTGTTACAGTAAATGAAGATACATGTCCATATGTCCTGTCTATTGTATAGGATAAAATATTGACTGCTGTTTTTTTAACTTTTTTTTATTACCAGAAACTAGGAGGGTTGACCAGTTTATTAAGTTTATTAACCACGATTCATTTTGTGATTCCAGTTTTCTACAAGTACAGTATTTTTACACAAATTTTGTGTTGCTTTTAAAAAAAATACAATTTAAAAATGATTATAATACAGTTTGGGGCCTAGAAAAAACATTATGGGTCTTTTAATCTCTTTTAAGATGAATAAATAAACACACAAACTTAATTATTTTACTTTTTATTGAAAAAAAAATTCTGTCAAAGATCAAACAAGACAATTTAAATGTATTGAGACAGAAAAAAGAAGCCAGTGTGACATATTTTTGGTCTTTTCTGTATAGTCTGAAGGCAACTATGCCACCAAATGTAAACAACACAGCACCTTTTTTTTTTGAGCACACAAATTAATTCAATGTGTAAGCCAAGTGAAAAGACAATCCTTCTTTTAATATCAGTAATCCAAACAGTGGATTCAAATGTGTGAATTCAGTGTACAAAATTATCATTAAACGCACAACATATAAAAGTTACAATATGTGGTATCATGAAAATAATAGGAAATTCAAAAAACACAACAAAAAAAACCTCCAAAAAAAATCACAGCATTGTTCTGTAGCACAAGTGTGCTATAAAAATAAATGTTTATGCCACTTGTCCAGAAGGATCCAGAAACAGATTCTTAATAGAAGGAAATGAGACGTTTTGTTCAGTTTAACCCAGTCCTTCAATATAAACCAGGCTATAATGACTCCTCCACTAGGTGCCATTGAGGAGAAGTGATTATCATCCTCATCATGAACTTCAGTAGCTCCTTTCAAAGTGGGCCAGAGTCTTTCATTTACAAAGATGCCGAGGTCTTCAGAGAGATGAGAGGAAGTCCTTCAGACCACCTTTCTTACTCTGCTGTTTGGTTTCCAGCATAAGGATCTTTTTGAGGCGGGCGAAGGGTGACGACTTTCCACTGCAAGACTTTGATGACGAGCTGGTGTTTGAAGACACTGACCTGCGGGAAGAAAGCATTGAGTAAATGGTTTCATTAGTTCTGTGAGATGCAGTTGGGACCAGCAACATATATGTTCAAAGAGTAGCTTACCTTGGTGTGCCACTTGGTGTTCTGTCCACTACTGATTTTGGAGTGCCCCTGTTGACAGACTGTGGAGTTCTTTGTTTGCCTGCACTTCCTGGGGTACTTCGGTTCTGTGACAGAGTAGCCAAAAGCTCACGGTTCATTCCAGGTTGTCTGGACATCTTGTTACAGGTGTAACACGTTGCCATCTAAGAGAACAAAGTGTCTTGGTTAAATAATGGTTAAATGATCAAATATGTCATCATGCCAAATTGCCAAAATGATTTGAAAAACACACACACATACACATAGCCTACTGTATTCATACACATACTATATATATATATACACTTTTTTTTTTTTTTTTTAGCTGAGCAAATGTCTGGATATCCCAACTTTAAAATTGCCTAATATTATAAGTTTTTTTTCCCCCTGATGACAAAAATAGTACATAAAATGTTTTATCATATTAAGGATAGATTCAAATATAAATGCCCTACATACACAAAACACTGTTTGTAATACAAAAATAGAATATCTATCAAAACAAAATCTGAAGAGAAGATAAACAATGTCTGACATCAGATGTACTCGTGGATCTTAAAATTGGAATGCAAAACTACTGATATGCACAATTAATTAATTAATAATGTTGATAGAAGACAAGCGTCTCACAAACAAAAGTCGATTGCCCAATCTTCATACGCTGACTGGAAACTCGAACAAAATTGCAAAATCAAATACAAGACCAATAAAATGTATTGCTTTAACATGAATAAGTTACTAAAACGAATCTTGTTTTTTTAAGATGGTTATACTGTTGTGCTAACGAGGTTTAGCAGGCACTTGTTGTGAGCACTTATCTCAGGTATTCCACACATTGTATATGAACGTGAGCTCTATAAACAGCAAGGTACAGGCCAAAAGTACAATACACACACATGCCCAGAGCCAGAGGCCATCCGCACAGACACAAACTGCCAGAGACAGCACTAAATTAAGCCGACCAACCCCTAGCATTTCCAATCTTCTACTCACACTTATATAATCTTCTACTTTATACACTTCAATATACTGACATACGATTTATTTTATTCAGCAAGAATGCATTAAATTGATTAAAATTTACAGTAAAGACATTTATAATGTTACGAAAGATTTCCATTTCAAATAAATGCTGTTCTTTTGAACTTTCTATTCATCAAAGAATCTTTGTATGTATCAGTTTCCACAGAAATATTAAGCAGCACAGCTGTTTTCAACATTGATAATAATAAATGTTTCCTGAGCAGAAAATCAGCCTATTAGAATGATTTCTGAAGGATCATGTGACACTGAAACTTTGCCATCAATGGAAAAAGTAAAATATAAAACAGTGGTTAAATTTGTAATAATATTTCACAATATTACAGTTTTACTGTAATTTTGGTCAAATAAATGCAGTTTTGGGGTAAATAAGAGACTTTCCAAAACATTAAAAAAATCTTACAGACCCCATACTTTTGAATGGTAGTATACACAAGAAAAACCTTTCAGTGGTTGATTCATAAATCCTGAACATATGGTTACATTGTTGCATTAATGTAATTTATGTTAACTGCACAAATGATGAAACTTGCATTCTTCTGTGTGGAAATTGAACTCACCGACACAAAGGCTGCCATTGTTTGTTGAGGTAACAGGTGGCTAAGCTGAAGTGTAGATGATTTGAGATGATCCAGGCATGTATGTGAGAACAGCTATGTTTACTACAGCTCCCTTCACGTGTGGAGATATAAAGAGCAGGACGGGCCAATCAGCTGCAGCGGGGGAGGAGTCTGCCTGACTGACTCTTGTCTCTGATTGGTTACTGAAAGAATGCTCTGCAGTATCTGAACAATCCTTAATGGAATTCCTCAGAAACTTGAACCAAGTCTTTAAAAAGTAACACAATTATTATAAATAAAGCAAACAGTTCCCCTTTTAATTCTTCTGTACATTTAGTACTGCACATCTTGAATGGGAACTGTGGACTAAGCACAGATGGTTTGTATGAGAAATCTTTTCACTTGTACTTTTTGTACTTAAAAATTCAGCATTAAAACACAAAAGTCTATTTTATCTTTTCATCTTACGAGGCTAAATAAATATATAAATCAATGTTTTGGCATTCGACTAAAACACTGACCACACTAACCAAGCAAAGAGCTTTAGGAGAATATGATATCAAGATTACAGCTAAAATAGAAAACACCAAATACTAGTTAACCACTGCTTTAAAAGTTGAGCAGTTTTCCATATAAAGACAGCAGACTCAGTCACATCCTCTAATCTCAATCACACAGCTCAATCCCAAAATAGATCATTCCCCATGATCGAAATCTGCCCATTTAACAGGGTCATAAACACAATGCTCAGAACAGAGACATCCGACACAGCCAGGCTGGGAATGAATCCTTGGGAGAAACACTGTTAAAGAAAAGGATGGATTCAGAGAGAGATAAGAGATATAGACAAAGTAGAGATGTCATCCATAACTAGTATCTATTCCCTTGTTTCTAAAATGAAAGTTCTGGGTTAAATGGTTCTGCTGTAAAGGCCAGTTTAGTAGTTGGTGGAGCCTGTAGATTAAGGAATTATTGGTAAACTAGTTAAGAAGCCTAAAAGGTTACACCAACAAACCAGCAACTAAAACACAACATACAGTATGTGACAAAAAAACATGTTTCCAACAGAGGCAACTAAAATTACCAAAGAAATATTTTTTATTCATACCTGAGATGGTAAAAATAAACAAAAACAAATGAAACTCTTGGTTACCAACACTCTTCAAAATATGTTTTTTAGTGTTCCACAGAAGAAAGGAAGTCATTATGGAAGCTTGTTTCTGCCACAGAATAACAAAAATAGGCAATTGCGACTTTTTATCTCACAATTCTGACTTTTCTCAGAACTGTTTATGGTATATGGTATCACAATCATGAGATTAAAACTCGCAACTGAGTTATAAATCTGAATTGTGAGATATGATCTCACCTAAACCTTTTTTCTCACAATTGCAAATTTAAAACGGTCAGTTCTCACTTTTTCACAATTGTGAGTTATAAAGTCCAAATTGTAAGATATAAACTAACAATTGCGAGGCAAAAACTATTCGCAATTACCTTTTTAAATTTTTTACTCAGTGGTGGAAACAATCTTTCATAAGTCATCGACTATAAGTCTTTCAGGCAAGATATCCCATAATCCCTTAGTCTTCCAACATAAGTCTGTCATTTTCACAAACAAGTCAATGACTTCCTTTCTTCTGTGAAAGACTAAAAAATGCATTTTGAAGAACAACGTTAACAGAGTTCACGAGAATTCACAAGTCTTAATCAAGCTAGTTTATATTGGCAAAAAACCCACGGCTCCCTTGTGTGAGACTGATGCAATCAGACCAAAGCAGCTGACAAGAGACCGGAAACAAATAAAGCAAAACGGAGCTGTCAAGACTGCATATAGATAAATCCAATGCAGGGTGAAGGGTCATGCGTGGAATAACAATACTGCCAGTGGTTTCTTTTACTTCTAACCCTTCCATTACGCCAAAACGAACACATGTACAGTCTGTAAACCCTACATTATGGGGAATGTCCCCACAAAGATGACAATATCTGAAATCCTTGTCCTTGAAATTTGTTGGTCCCCATGAGGAAAATAGCTTATAAATCATACTAAGTGATGTTTTTGAAAATGTAAAATTGCAAAAAGTTTGGGTAAGTTTGTCCAGTATAAAAATCATGTCTAGGGAAAATCCCCATAACTCGCTTGGATATGTGTGTGTGTGTGTTTTATATATTTGTTACTATTGAGCTTTTATATAAGATTTTGAATGTGGTCTCAGACTTTCAGCCATAGATAACCTATATATTATCTACACTGAACAAAATGATAAACGCAACACTTTTGTTTTTGCCCCATTTTTCATGAGCTGAACTCAAAGATCTAAGACTTTTTCTATGTACACAAAAGGCCTATTTCTCTCAAATATTGTTATTATTGGGGGTCCCAATTTTAGAGTGGCCTTTTATTGTGGCCAGCCTAAGGCACACCTGTGCAATAATCATGCTGTCTAATCAGCATCTTGATATGCCACACCTGTGAGGTGGATGGATTATCTCGGCAAAGGAGAAGTGCTCACTAACACAGATTTAGACAGATTTGTGAACATTTTTTGAGATAAATAGGCCTTTTGTGTACATAGAAAAAGTCTTAGATCTTAGAGTTCAGCTCATGAAAAATGGGATCAAAAACAAAAGTGTTGCGTTTATAATTTTGTTTAGTGTATAATGGAAAATGATTATTAAAACTGAAATATATATATATTAGGGCTGTCAAATGATTAATCGTGATTAATCACATCCAAAATAAAAGTTTTTTTTACATAATATATGTGGGTGAACTGTGTATAATTATTTTATATATATATATAAATACACACACATGCTTGTATATATTTAAGAAATATTTTCATGTATATACTGTATATAGATTTAGATATAATTTATATTATATATAAATATTTTATATATAAATAATATATTTTTCTTAAATATACATGCGTGTGTATTTATATATATACAAAATAATTATACACAGTGCACCCCCATATATTATGTAAAAAAACCTTTTATTTTGGATGTGATTAATCGTGATTAATCATTTGACAGCCCTAATATATATATATATATATATATATATATATACGCACACACAAACACATCAGTCCAGCAGATGGGCTTTTTGTGTTCTATTATTAGTCCAGGCTCCTGAAATACCCTCAACCCAGCAGCCACAAGTCGGGCTAGACTGTCGGCTCTGACCTTCCTGCTGAGATTCTAGATGCCACAGCTGCCCTTGATATGCAAGCCTGGCCAAGTAATATGTGTGTGTGTTCAGCTATTGATATGTGGAGACCCATCTGCTTTCCAGGGCGATCGATCTGTGGTACGCCCATCCCCCTTGACCAAACATGGAAAATCTGCATCGCTGATTCTTTCCCTGAGGGGAAACAGGATGTCACATGCACCAAGCATAACCTGCATCAAACACAGGCTGGAAAAAGCCAAGGTTACTGGCACAGATGCTTCCCAAAATGTTGAAAGATGCACATGCAACATTTGAGCTTTCTGTTGGAGATATGGAAATTTTCCAACTCAAAGGTGACAACAACAAAGGACCTAGAAAC